TTTTATATTTTTATTGAAGACTCTCCGATTCTGCTCTTAACCTTTGTTTTCAAACCATTTCGTCTGTTGGCAATCTTGATTTGATGTACTCAGTTATAATTAGTGATTTGAAATGAATTACATTCATTGGACTTCGTTTCGTCTGTACACATAATTTAGAAAGACGGCTCTTTGTCAGTTCAAACATTTATTTATCTTAACTTTGTACAGATGTTTTGACGTACTTTAATCTAGATTCGACGTTCTTCATGTCAACTGTAATTTACCAAGTTCTCTGCACTATGCAAATACGTAACTCTAACATCGTTAGCTGAAATCATTTCTCATTAGTATAAAATTCCATCGAGTAAAATTTGCTCCTGACTTTAAACTATGAAGACGTATAGAAGAGTGCAGATATATTTCCACGCATTCATGACTTGACGCTAGACTGAGGTGAGTAGTCAGCTTCACTCTCCGTCCGCTTTAGCCTCGGTACGCATTTGATAGGAGGCAGAGTGGGTTCCAGAGCTGGTCTGAACGCGGTAGCGAACACTTGAACCCCGGGCATCGAGCTATCCTGGCTTCGTAGTTCCGTACTGGGAAAATATAATGTCGGTCTCCTCTTTTTAAAATTCGAATCTTGTTAGTGGGCGTGTCAGCATTCATTATCAAGATTTTCCATTTATTTGTATGTATGTAACGACTCTGATTCAACTGCGGATATTGTATAGTATCAAATGAGATTTGTAGATAATAGTATGTATCGAACTGGAATGTGTTAGCCAGAAAATATTTGATAACCTATGCGACAGTTCTGTAATATTCCAAGTTTGCTAAAAATATCACACGACTTACGTGTGGGTCCTTGCTTATGTATTCATTTTAGAGAAGTTACAGTAGAGTTGCAACTAGGAAGGAAACTCTCAGAACAACATGTGGTACTTTTACGTTCATTGGATCTAATTCCGATATTTCGCCCACAGAATGTATTTATGTGTTCCGTATGATTCGCAGAGTAAAAATCTTTCTAATAGAGATCGTCTATGTTTTCCCTGAGATAGGAACTGAATATTTAAATATTGTTATATGACCTTCGTTCTTCGGAAGATTGACTCGCTGTTTGTTTATTGACTTTTCGTTGACAGCCTGTAATTTTAAATTTATTAAAGTGTCATCTGCTGGTCTCCGATTCTACAGATCCTTTGTCTTTAAGTTTCTTTATTAAAAACCTAATTAAAAGATAAGCATGCTTAAATGTAAACTAATGAAGGTTAATTCAAGTTTGGAGTGAGGGATGTTTTTTTTCAGGTACGTGCCTTACCGTGCTAGACGTAGGGGGCTGTTATTATTAAATATGCAATTATGAAATAGGCGGAGATAGGGAGACAAAACATACGAAAAATTGAAATGTGTAGAACAATGCATGAATAGTGTGAGATGAAAAGAAACACGTCAGTGGATATTTTCTTCTAACAGGAGGTGAGAGCTTTGAGTTAAGAGACTCAGTACGAATATTATTTAATTTCATTCTTTATATAAAGACGCTGTCAGGAGCTCAGACTATATAGCGTCGAATGGGCAAATGATTAATAAATGACGAATCGAAAAAGATATGGAAGAATGCTGTCTTGGCATCGTTTAAGGTAGTGTCCCGACATTTGTTGGGAGTGACTAAGGAAAACTGCAAATCCTCCCACAGGATAGCCAATTTTTGTGCCTGGATTTTAACCCGGGACTTTCTGCATACGAAGTAGGAGTGTTTTCTGCGTTTTTGCGTCTTCTGAAACGAACTGAAATGTTGAATTGGTCTCAGAACAATATAATGCTGCCTTTGTGTGTTCTTTGCGTGACGTTCGTAAAATCAGAGCATGATGGAGGGAGACTTTGTCCGCAGATTTTATCACCTAGACTACTAAAAGGATTTCCATTAAATCTGGTGGCGGGAGGTTTGGGTTTCAAAACATTATAAGGCAAATTTGATTTTGATTCATATCAGACCAATATCACGCTTACTATTAATGAAGTCCAAACTTTTTGTGGTTTCTTAAAAACGGTTTATAGCCTAATATAAACAATTTTATCCAACATTCAAATGTAGTTCTTTTTTAAATATGAAAAATTTATATTCGACTTTCTTCGGTGTGGTGGATATATAACGAAATTTAATTTCTGGCTGCAGGTGATTAGATCTTTGAGGCAAATTTGTACCTGCAATAAATTAACATCAAACCCAAGAATTACAAGGCGTACAATTTGAAATACTTCAGCTGTTTTGATTTCTAACTAGACCAGCAGGTCACTTTTTCTTACGTTGGTTATAGACTGGCCTAAATATTTCAGGTTTCAAGGTGTGCCACGTTACATAATATAAACATTGCAAATGTTTTCACCTGGAGCGAATGGTGTGATCATATATGGAAACCAGTTGTTTTAGCTGGCATGGTGGCCAGCGTGCAAGGCCATACGTTCCTCTGCGGTCAGAACGGCAGCTCAGGGACACTTGACGTAAACGTGTACGACAAACGAAGCGGGAGATGGCGGTTGTAGGTTGGTTAAACAGTGAGGCCTCGTCCATGGGTTGCAGGATCATCTTCGTGTAATCGCGTAACTTCAGATAATCGACGGACAGACAGATATATAAGCTTAGAATCTTTTGGCCAGTTATTGACAGTTATACAATTGTCTTTGCATTTTAATTATTTTCTTACAATTTTTGCTTAAACGTTCTTTTTATAGGAGTGTTAATTATTTATTTGCATTTTATTTAATATACTGTGGAATATTATTTTCATCCTTACTAACTCCGTGGAACGAAGCCATAGTTTTAGAAGCACATAATTATTCAGCTGGTCAATAAATTCTAAGCCTTTTAATGAAACTAAATTCTATTACCGTGTTTTCAAGAACCCACCACTGGTCCGTATCGTGAGGCAGATGAATCCAATCCACTTCCTCTTGTACGAACCCGTAGCTTATCGAGTTTTGTATCTGACTGGCTTTAATTTAATGCAGTTTAAAGGACTCGCAAAGGCCCAGCGTATGGGTCTCTTGTAAGATATATTGCAACGTTACCCTTTATTCTACACCCAATATTACTAAGTGGTCTATTGTCTTCTTTATGTTTTTTTTGTACGAACGTAAACTGTAATATTTTTTTGAAATTCTGTGTGTGAGGAACAATTTTGTTGCTGCGAAACATTCAATTTCTTTGGCGTTTATAGTGAAGTTTCCGAAAACGCAATTTGTTTCAGACGGTTTTGTTAAGCGGAACTGTCGTGCCATGTTTTGGTGTTGCCAGTCTTCATTATGGAGACGTTTTGCAGCCTGCAGGGAAGCAGTTGGCTGTCATCTTCGAGAGTGAAGGCAACCAGCGCATTACGTTGTCTTGGGATCGCTTGCACAAATGGAGAATTGAGTTTAGCCTTCTTCGTGCGTTTGTTTATGGAGTGGAGAGAGGCTCTGTGTAATATAAGCTAATAGGGTATTACATTTCGGTGCTTTCAAATTATGAACGTAGGATTAATTATAAGATTATGCAATTATCAGAACTTAAACTTTTTAAATACGATATATTATTGAGATAAATATGAGCTTAATATTGTGAGATTTTAGGCTGTCACGGCGAATATGAAAAATGGTGTTGTTATGCCTCCTATTCTGGTAGAAGGTTTTCATCATTTAAGAGGTACTTGCTGCCTCAATCATCAGCGCTGTCGATTTATATAGGTGGTCGTTTAAAATTTGCGAAAGAATGTTGTCTTACTGTGCAACATTTTACCTGTAGTGTGATTAACTGAAAACGATAGATTTTTTGTTTGCAATAATCGAATATCAAGGTCCCTTTTTGTACAGATTAGTAACGCGTCTGTAAAATAAATGTAGGCCCTATGCCGTTGGATTAACGCTTTAAATCGTCAGTGTTCTTAATTTATCTTATTTTGTCGTTCGATGTGAAATTGAAAAGACACGACGAAAAGGCTACATCATTTTAAGAGTGCGTCAGGGAAAAGTTATTTTGCTGCATTATGTAATTATTTATTTCGCTTATTTATAGCTCTTTCACACCAGTTCGTTAATTTATCAACTGTAGACTATAGAAAAGGATGCTTTTGATAAGATGATAGTCGATAAGCCAATCGAGAAATTCTCATGCGAAACGGTTTTTAGCTAATATCAACTTAGGAGCTTTTGAGGTTATAGTTACCAAATTAAATTAATCCATGGAAGATGTGGTAAAATATATTAGTCACGCAACTTCTTGTTAGGGCAGCAGAGATGATTATACCCTCCTGAAAGTTTCATTTTATCCTAGACAAAGATTATATTTCAAGCTTATTTCCTCTCAGCGGGAGGCCACGCCTCGACTGCTGTATTTCAACGCGTTGTTTAGTGGCCCACGTCTTAGACATCGTATAAATTTTGTTACCAGAAAGCGTGTTTTCTTACAATGTAACCGGATATCCAGGGAATAGAACTGATAGCCTCTGGGCTAGTTAAGAAATTACCCGTCTATTATGGAACCACATTCATTACTGTCTCTACCTGAGCCCGCAGCTGGTTTCTGTCTTGAGCCATATGAGTCCACTCCACATCTTCAGCCACTATTTTTTTAATTTTCATTTTAACCGTAAATGTCCTGGCTGCTACAACAACCAGAAAGTCTTCATTTTGTATTTAAGGGTTTTGTATGGTTCATGCTCCTTGTATCCAGCCTTTATTTCCTTGAAGAGAGTGGTATTTTTAATGGAGAAGAGTTGTCTTTCCTTTGCTTTGTGGGCTGAAGAAAGCGGTCTCTTCCCGTAATGACATTTCTCATGCACTTTTCTCTCTTCAGTGCTACTGTAGCTAAAGGTAGCGAGTAAAGTAATGTTTTGATGCAAACCTCTTATGGCGAGTGCTGAAAGCAATTTAGGAATTTTTAGTTTCAGAATGATCTGTGCCTTTTGTTGGTAACTATATGTACCACGTGCTTAAACAAACAGTTATTGATATGATGGCCTGGATTCTTTGTCCGACAGGGGCAGAATCTTTATCCACATCGGCTGTGGGGCGCTTTCAACATCCAATCGGTCCTGGTATTGTTTCCTTGGAGTTAAAGCGGGTAGAGTGTGAAGCTGACTATATCCACCTAATAGGAAAGTTATAAGTGCATGGGGCTTACATCTTTACGATATGATACTTGTGCAAAGGGACAGTTTGTGTTTCGTCCATAAGACAGTATGAACGAATAGACTTTTTAAATTTTGCATGTTTGTGCATGGGTCGTGTTATTGTGGTTTAAGATCAACAAGGCGTGGTCCTTGTTAAAGTACCAGGAACCTTTTACCTCAGATTTAATTGTGTACGAAAATTTTGATCTTGCTTCGAATTCCGGATTGTGATGAATTAGTGGAAGGTTTCTGTTTTCATGTATAATTGACGTGTTTTTGAAACGAGCTTGTAATTACCTTGGAAACCGTACAACTCATATGTAAACAGCTGGGGGAGCCGCAGTCAGGCGATCTGCAAACACAAGTACAACGTTCGCCGTGCATGGCTGCAACACGCTGCACTCAGCTGACTGCCTGCCTGCAAGCTCTGTGGCGCACTGAAGCGACGAAGTAGGGCGGTATCGCACTAGGATGCCATGGCAGCGACACCAACAGCGATGCCATGGCGTCCAGCTGCCAGAAAAAAGACGCCAGTCGAGCGAACAGATGGATAAACATTATGAGATCACGAAATGAAGGGCTATTAGCAAGGAGAAATGTCCACTTTTATCACTTTTGAGAAAATGAGATTTACCTTAATGAAAACTACATACCTGGAGTGAATTTCAATTCTGTAACAAAGAAATAAGTAAAAAAAAAAAATTCTCCATACACACACTTTGCACGTCCATACCATTATTTAATTTGAAATATTTCAGTTCTTGCAAATTACATGTAATATTACATGAACAAACTTTATTTAATAAAATATTATAAAAGCAAGTTTCTTCTTAATTCACGTTATTTGTGATATATAGATTGCTAAACAAAAAAACTTATAAATCCAAGTTGCCATATTGGAAAGCGGCCCCACAAATAAAGCCATAGAAACACTTCTTAGCTAATTCTTTCTTTTCTACTGTAAATAAATCTCCTCCAAATATTGCCACAAGTTCTTCCCAGTTTCTTTTTTTCAAGTCCCGGTTTGCGTATTCAATAGCAGATGAATCCCATAGTGATGGCCGGGACTGAATTTCAATTATCAATCTTTCGGTGTCGAAATTATCCATGTTTGGAAGAAACAGAAATACACACAAGCACATTCACGCACGGACGTCAATGGACTGGCCAGACTGTCATGTGATGTTGATTTGGCCTTGGCGCTGGCAGCTGCGCCATGGCCTCCCGTTGGCATCCTAGATACCGCCCGTACTGTGGACTGGTTACATGGTGTCCCACGAGCCAGATTAGGGTGATCGTAGTAAAATGGGACTCACTATAAAAATGATATTGTTGTGACGTATAAATTTTGTGTGGTACAAGTTTTGACACGGCGAATAAACAAAACTACCTTTATTATAAAACCATCCTAGTGCTGGGTCAAAGATGAAGCCCTGTCTTAGAACCGAGTGTATTATGATGTGCTGCTTGGCCAGGGTTGTCGTACACCTTTGGGGTGCGCGCGGAGGGGGTTAATGGATAAGCATGGAGCAGTAATTGAATGATGATTAACAGGAGAAAGCGAAGTTGAGGATAAGAACTTTCACCAGTGCCGATTCGTCCACCACGAATCTCACGTGAAGTCACCCGAGATTGAACTCTGGCGTCCGCGATGTTATTTGTGTCATATTCGTGGTACACGCTGACTGATTAACTAAATATATATAAAAAAGTAAAGTTTGTCCCACTATACGCCATGTAGGCGTTTGGGGTGAGAGGAGGTATAGCTCCTTCCTTCCTTGAACTCGGCACTAGATGGGGGTGAGTGGTCAGCATCACCGCCGGCGGGCTTTACCCCCGGGAAAGAACCCCGGTACCCATTGTAGAGGAGGCTGCGTGGGCCCCAGAGCCGGCCTGGACGCAGAGGCTAGAGGAAAAAATCTTCTGCCCCCGTCGGGGATCGAACCCCGGCCGTCCAGCCCATAGCTAGTCACTATACTGACTGAGCTATCCCGGCTCATAAATATATATGCATGTACCACATTAAATATAACAGCCTAATAAGGCAATGATGATGATAATAATAACAATAACAACCTATAAGATTCATTTTTATAGACATAAAATTGTTATTTTAAGTGGAGACAACTTCATACGAAAAAATCAAGGGATTTGTTTATTTATTTATCATTGTAACAAAACCAAAGATGTCCAGGCAACACCTCTAATTCCAGAGTCCGCCTTACCCAGTTACGTCAGACAAATTAAGGCAAATCTATTTACCTGAGATCCGTAATCGTGTAGCTTTCCGTCTCCTTTTAGGTCTTCCAATTGGATTCTTTCCGATACATGTTTCCACGAACATCCTAATCCGTGTCTTCTTTTACCACCCAAAACCAATTAAATGAAAGTACCATCTTGACAACATGAGCCGGGATAGCTCAGTGAGTATAGTGACTAGCTACGGGCTGGACGACCGGGGTTCGATCCCCGACGGGGGCAGAGGATTTTTCCTCTCGCCTCTGCGTCCAGACCGGCTCTGGGGCCCACGCAGCTTTCTCTACAATGGGTACCGTGGTCCTTTCCCGGGGGTAAAGCCGGCCGGGGCGCGATGCTGACCACTCCCGGGGCGTGATGCTGACCACTCACCCCCATCTAGTGCCGAGGTCAAGGAAAATGGGAGCTATACCTCCACTCACCCCAAGCGCCTACATGGCGTATAGTGGGACAAACTTTACTTTTTACCATCTTGACAACGCGTTCTGCCTGTGTAAATAACAGCTCGTTTGTAAATGACTTACGCAAATAGAAATATGCGATAGCGTAACAAATTTTGATTTGGTGTAATTTTCATATACTTCAGAAAAGTATATTGACATTTCGTTTCCATGGAGAGATTTCAGGTTCTGACAGCAGCGAATGTGAAGATGACTACCATCTGAGATGTTGCGTCGT